ACCAATAAACAGCATCATGATAAATGGAGAAGAGATTGAAGCTGTCAAAGATTTCATATTACTTGGTTTCACAATCAACACCAACAGAAGCAGCAGTCAAGAAACCAGACAACGTATTGCCCTGGCTAAATGTGTTGCAAAAAACCACTTTAAAGTGTTTGAGAACAAAGACGTCTATTCGAAGTCTAAGATGCACCTAACCCAAGCCACAGTATTTTCAATCTCCTCATATGCATGTGAAAGCTGGACAAGGAATAAGGAAGACCAAAGTAGAGTTGATGCTTTTGAGTTGTGGTGTTGGCGAAGAATGCTGAAATTACCACAGAGTCCCAAAAGAACTAACAAATATGTCCTGGAAGAAGTACAGCCAGATTCTCCTTGCAAGGCAGAATGGCCAGATTTCATCTTACCTACTTTGGTCATGTTGTCAGAAGGGACAATTCCCTGGATAAGGATCTCATGCTTGGGAAAGTGGAGGGTCAGTGAAAATGAGGAAGGCCCTCAACAAGATAGATTGACACAGTGGCTGCAATGATGGGCTCAGGTATAGCAAGGATTGTGAGGCTGGCAAAGGACCAGGCACTGTTGCGTTCTGTTGTACATAGGGTCTCTATGAGTTGGAGATGACTCGATGGCACCTAACAACAACAACAACAATAATCAAGAGTTCCATCAGAATCTCCAAGAAGTATTTACTGACATTTGGATGTACTGAATTGAAATCTTCAGGCATAGAATCTAGCTTTGAATTTTTTTACAGAAGTTCCCCAGGTGACTGTGATGCCCAAATCTAGTTGAGAACTAGTGCAGTGATGATTACTTCAGTCTCATGTGTCACCCAAGTACCTTTATCACTTAAGGATTTGGCAAAAGAAGACATAGTGTGATTTACTAAGGATGGTATTCTCATTTTGCTGGCTAGACATCTAATGGGACTAGAAAACTCAAGCTGCATCTTGATTCATTATTCCTAAGCTCCCCCCTGCCTTTTCATCAAGCTATTCTAGATTTAAGAATAGAATTTAGAGTCTTATCAAAGTGGTTGTTTCTGTCACAATGGGATACTATGTCAGTTAATTATCTGTTCTTTCCTCTTATTGTCACTTAATCAGCACTGTTCACTGCCAAACTGGTTCCCTCATTTTTTTAAATATAAATTGTTCTCTAGGCAAGTTTAAAACTCACTCACTCTTTCCAAACTCAGAATTATTATCTCCAAAATGAAGATCACCTTGCCTAAACATATAAATTGCAGTAGGGGAGATCTCTTGGTAGTTTTCCTCAATTATCAAATTTCAAAATTAGCTTGCATATTTCTGATTGCTCTTTCCTTTTTATTTTTTTTTTATTTCCCATTTAAGGCTAGGCCACTGAAAGAAATCATTTTTATATGAATCACATTTTTTATAAAATAAGAACTTGTTAACAGCAGTACAGACTCTATA